AGGCAAAGGACAACCCCAGGCTTCTCTTTTCCACCATAAACCGTCTCCTCCGTCCACCTTCCCATACCTCGCCCATCCTCTCCTCAAACTCCAACTGTGAGGAGATGCTGGACTTCCTTGAATCCAAAATCGAAGGGATACGTTCAGCCACCTCAGACCTGTCCACTGCCACCCCCACATCACCTCTTCCTCATGACCCACCCCCCACCCATCCCCTTCTATACTCCTGCGACCCTATCTCTCCCTCCTCCCTCACCACAACTGTCCGCAAACTCAAACCCACCACCTGTTCCCTCGATCCCATGCCCAACTCTCTCTTCATCTCCCTGCTCCACCTTCTGGCCCCTCTCCTGTCCAACATCATCAACCTCTCCTTGTCCACTGGTTCAGTTCCCACCCCCTTTAAAACAGCCATCATCACACCCATCTTGAAAACACCTTCCCTGGACCCATCCTTTCTCTCCAGCTACCGCCCCATCTCTAACCTTCCATTCCTCTCCAAGGTCCTGGAACGAGTTGTTGAGTTGTTGTGTCCCAGCTCCGCTCCTTTCTCTCTCGCCATTCCCTCTTTGAACCCCTCCAATCCGATTTCCACGCTACCCACAGCACGGAAACAGCCCGGGTCAAAGTCACTAATGACATTCTGAACATCTGTCATCAGGGCTCCCTCTGCCGCCTTGTCCTCCTCGACCTCTCTGCTGCCTTCGACACTGTCGACCACTCCATCCTCATACACCACCTCTCCTCTTTATTTAATCTTTGCGGACCTGCCCTCGATTCCTATCTCTCTCACCATCTCTACTTTGTTGCCTCTAACAGTTTCTCCTCCAGCCCTCGCACTATCACGTCTGGCGTCCCCCAGGGCTCTGTCCTTGGCCCTCTCCTCTTTAATATCTACATGCTCCCCCTTGGTGACATCATCCGCAGACATGGGGTCAACATACATTTGTTTGCGAATGACACCCAACTCTATCTTTCTGCCTCCACCCTCAACCCCAGGACCACTGCTGTCCTGACAGACTGCCTGTCGGACATCAAGTCCTGAATGAGGGCAAATTTCCTACAGTTGAATGTGAACAAAACTGAGGCCCTCCTGATTGGCTCACGCCAGCGCCTCAGCACCTCAGGCTCTGGCAACATCAACCTCCATGGTTGCACACTTCAATTCACCGCCAGTCAGGAACCTCGGTGTCTTGTTCGACCCTCAACTGCTTTTCTTACCCACATCTAAACCATGACCTGCTCTGCCTTCCCTCACCTCCGTAACATCGCCCGACTCCGCCACTACCTCACCCCTCAGGCCACTGAAACTCTTGTTCATGCCTTCATCACCCCTAGACTCGACTATGCAAACACCCTGCTTGTCGGCCTTCCCAACTCCTCCCTCCACAGACTGCAGATAATCCAGAACTCTGCAGCCCATATCCTCTCCCGCACTAAACTCCGTGACCCCATCTCCCCCATTCTTGCCCGATTCCATTGGCTCCCTATCCTTCAGAGGATCCATTCAAGATCCTGGTCGTCACCTACAAAGCCCTCCATGGCCTCGCCCCACCTTACCTCGGTGACCTCCTAACCCCCTACCAACCCTCCCGTTCCCTCCGCTCAGTCGGCTCTGGCCTTCTCTACGTCCCCTGACCCACCGCCCCACCATTGGCGGGAGAGCCTTCAGCCACTCTGCCCCCAACCTCTGGAATTCCAGCCCTCAATCACTCCCCCTCGCCCCCTCCTTAGCCTCTTTCAAGTCCCGCCTCAAGACCCTCCTCTTGGACCATGCCATTGGCCACCCCCCTTCTGCTCCCCTCAGTTCTGGTCTGAAATGCTGTACACTGTCCAGCGCCTGAGATGTCCTCCCGACGTGAAAGGCGCTATACAAATGTAATCTTGTTGTATCTTGTTGTAATCTAACTATAGAGGAGAATAAAATACCAACTGGAAAACAAGAGTTACTTTGCCACCTCCAGTACCAACTCCAGGTCCACCAATGTTCTATCAACTTGTCTGGAAGACATCAGGGCCTGGATGAGTGCATACTTCCTGCAGCTGAATATGGACAAGATGGAAGCCATACTCCTTGGATCCTGTCAAAGTCTTCACTCCTGTAGATCTGAACTCCTCAACCTCCCCGGGCTCTCCCTCAGACTCACTGAACCAGTGGGTCAACTAGGCTTGTGGTTCGATCCCCAATTGTCCTTCCTCCCACACATTTGGTTCCTGACCAGGACTGCCTTCTTCAACCTCCGCCACATTGCCCGCCTCCAACGGTACCTTACCCCAAATGCAGCTGAAACCCTAGTCCATGCGTTCGGCAGCTCCCATCTGGATTACTCCAACACACTCCTCGCCGGTCTCTTCAGCTCCACTATTCAAAAGATCCTGCTCATTCAGAACTCTGCTGCCTTCATACATACCTGGACGAAACTCCGTACCCCCATCTCACCAGTTCTGACCAGGCTCCGCTGGCTCCCCATCACTGAATGGATCGACTTCAAGATTCTCACACTCGTGTTCAAATCACTTCACACTCTGGCACCTCACTACTTCCTCACTCCCCAATCCATCACCTGGCGCTTCCGTTCAACTGGCACCGGCCTCCTGTTCGTCCCTCGCATCCTCCGCCCCACCATTGGAGGTTGCGCTTTCAGCCACTGTGCCACAAAATTCTGGAACACTCTCCCTCAATCCCTCCACCTTGCCCCCTCTCTCACCTTTTTCAAGTCCCACCGGAAAACCTTTCTCTTTAACCATGCTTTGGTCAATTTTCAGGTGAGGAATTTGAAATGGCGTCTTTGTGCCTGAAGCAGCAGAACCTTCGCCTCGCGAGTCGCTCACCACCATACATTCGTCTACCTGTGGCCTCGGCGGTATCTCACACCCGTTATACAGGCGGGAGATTTGAAATTTCTCGCCCCGCCTGTGCTTGCCCGCAGTCCACCTCGCCCGGCTTTCGGTGGCCAAAACCTTCAACCTTTGGTTTACTGTGGTTTCCAGAGGCCCCCGCCGCTCACTGACTCTCGACTCTCAAAGGACTTCCCAGAATATATTGGAAGGTGAATTGACTCTATATTTTGTGTCGATGGGCACAAGGCACTACCCACAAATCCAGGAAATCAGATTTGACTGAGTGTCATCCCTTTCTAAATCCCTGAAAAGCTTTAAAATTGTTTTGTTGACAGCTATTATCTAGAGAAAGATAGACACGTGGGGTATAAGGGTATTAGGGATATGAAGAAAAGGTGAGGAAATGGGATTAGCTCCAGTACCAGTAGAGCTGCTGGCAATTCAACAAGTTGTATTTATATAGCGCTCTCCACGCCGGGCCATGTCCCAGAGCGCTTAGTGAACCTGAAATGAACAATTTATGGTGTGTGTTTTCCCTTGGATAGAGAAGCAAAGAAAGGGGCTTGCTGTTACATCACTTACCCTTAGCTTTTACTACAAGTTCAATGGGTTAAGTAGCCGCCTTCTGTGCTGTGATTTCAAGGACTATAAAATTGATTAGGGCACTTTGCGTTGGACAGCTGCCTGAAGCACACGCATTGGGACAGACCCAATCCATCCCGATAGCCCCCAGTGAAAGCAGTGCTTTGGGAACAAAATTGGTAGAAATCAGCATAAATGAATGAGATTCATATTGGGTTAGATTGGTATTCTACGCATTTGCGCAAGGCAAGGCCTAAGAAATGAGGCACCTCCATCAAGGTTTAAGAAACCCTGTGAAACACAGAGATTCTTATGTGAAAGGCACCATATGAATGCAAAGATTATTATCTGTATTGTTATTATTAACACTGGTTAGTAGGTTTTGTAACGCACAAATATTGACTTTTGATTTTTGTGTTTCCTGAAGATACATCAATGCTCAAAATAATCAAGCTGACAGTTGGTAACACAAATGTTTGAATGTAATTCAAACAGAAAATGCATTTTTAAAGATATCGACATGTATGGGATGTTCGTAAGCAGTCGTAAGTAAAAGGACTAGAAAAAGCACCTTATTTTACTGCATATACGTGAATTTTATTGCATCTCCATTGCAATGCTGTTGTTAACGAGCATAACAATTTTTTTGGTTACATTAAAAAAGCAACAAACAAAATATCAACAAATATGATTAGAAGGTTCATTATACAGTCAAATATATAGTATTCTATCAGCCTCAAGTGGTAGCAGTCTCGCTCCTAAAATCAGAAGGTTGTGGGTTAAAGCCCCAAGTCAAGTCTTTGAATTCCCAGTTTAGACTGATGCTGCAGTGCATTGTTGGAGAAGTGCTGTATTGTTGGATGAGACATTAAATGCCTAAACTTGTTTAGGGGGGTTTAAAGATCCCTATGGCATTCTTTGAGAAAAAAGGGGAGTTTCTCCTTGTGTATGGCCATCAATCCTCCAATAAAAGTGATCACTTACTTCACGGTTGTTTGTAGGCCATGGCTGTGAGCAAATTGGTTGCCACATTCATCTACAACAACAACAACAAGATTCCATTTATAGAGCGCCTTTCACGTCGGGAGGACGTCCCAAGGCGCTGTACAGTTGGGTCAGGACCCGAGCAGGGGGGAAATGGTCAGGGTGAGGGGAGGGAAGGGAGGGAGCAAGGAGGGGGTAGAGAGTCGAGAGGGGAGCTGAAGGCTCGGTCAAAGAGAAAGGTCTTGAGACCGGCCTTGAAGGAGGAAAGGGAGGAAACGGCGAAGGCACTGGGGGATAGAGTTCCAGAGCCTCGGGGCTGAGAGGCTGAAGGCCCGGCCACCGATGGTAGGGCGGTTGGGGCGGGGGATGTGGAGCAGACCGGAGCCAGAAGAACGGAGGGTACGGGCAGGTAAGTAATAATAATAATAATAATAATCCTTGCATTTGATATAGCGCTTTTCACGTCGGGAGCACATAGTAGGTCAGAGAGGTAGGAGGGAGCAAGGCCGTGAATATGCACAATCACTACATTTTACAGTAAAATCCTGTGAAGCACTTTGAGATGTTATCCTAACATGAAAGACTAAATCAGATGCAAGGATAAAGCACGAAAAGTAATACAATTCTCAAGCATGCCTTTTTTAAAAAAAATTGACCCTACCAGTTATTGGTTATGTCATTGCCCGTAGAGCCATCTGAGTAATCCATATTGTGTGCCTTAATGACAGGTGTCTGCTGTTTATAATTCCCAACACGTGGGAAGCATTTGTGTGTTAAGTTAATTAGATGCCCTCTAAATTTTGCACCAATAAAAGCATAAAACAAAGGATTTAGACAACAGTGGAAATAGGCTATATTGAGGGTGAAGAAGTCAGCATATTCAATCTGATTGATTACTTCACATGTTTTAAAAATTCTTAGGTCCTTCAAAGCTGTCAGAAAAATCACAACATTATACGGTGCCCAACATAAGAAAAAAACCACTACAATAATAAATATAAGTTTCACCGTTCTGTATTTTTGCATTGTTCTGCACTTTATTAAAGTCTGAATTATCCTCAAGTAGCAGTAAACAATGATAGCAAATGGAATGACAAAGAAGAGCACATTTTGCAGAAAGTATCTCAATAGTTTCCAAGGAAGCGCTGTTTCTTTTGGATAGATATAATCACAAGTGGATTCTTCTGTAAGAGTGGAAAAGATAGCATGGGGCAATGTTGCTAATATACTGGATCCCCAAACAATGACACTGGTTATTGCAGCATAGCGCACCTTTCTGGATCTTAGAGCAGATACAGCATGAACCACCGCAAGGTATCTGTCAAAGGTCATCAGTGTCAGGAACATTATACCACTGTAAAACCCTGTGTAAAACATTGCACACACCACTTTGCACATTATGTCTCCAAAGATCCAACCCGTTAAATGGTGCATTGTCCAGAAAGGAAGACAGAAAGCAGAAAGTAAATCCGAAACTGCCAGATTAAGAATGAATATATTTGTTATGGATCTTAGATATTCATATTTCACCAAGACGCACAAAACCAATCCATTGCCCAACAGACTGAAAAGTAATAGCAGTACATAGAAGGCAGGCATGAAGGTTTTTGCAAAGTTGTTGATGCTATCTTTGTTGCAAATCCCTGAATCCTCAGGATAGTCATAGCTTGTATTGTATTCATCACTGTAGTCTGCCATTTCAGTGCTCATCATAGTCATTTCTGTAGAAATACTGTCAATAAAAAGCAATAATTATTTTCATCATGTACCACTTGGTATGTATGAAACGCATTCACTCCACCAGAAACCGAAATTGCATACATTACTACAAATGCAAGGCTTATTATAACTACTGTAGACTGAAATCAAAATGCAATAATGGACTTTATAAACATAGAACCACAGAAATCTACAGTGCAAAAGGAGGCTATTTGGCCCACTGAGTCCTCACTGGTTCATAGAGCAAGGAGATCAAATTATTTTGATGTTTTTTCCTCTCGCTCCCACCTGGTCACCTGCGGGATACCCCAAAGCTCCATCCTTGACCCCCTTCTTTTCCTCATTTACATGATCCCTTTCGACGATGTCATCCGCAAATATGGGGTCAACTTCCACATGTATGTGGATGACACCCAAATCTACTTCTCCTCCCCCAGCTGCAACTCCCAGTGCACTGATGTCCTGTCAGCTTGACATCAATGCCTGGATGAGCACAAATTTCCTGTAGCTGAACATCGGCAAGACGGAAGTCATACTCATTGGCTTCCGTGAACATCTTCTCTCCTACAGGTCTGAACTCCTCAACTGCCCCAGGCTCTCCAGGAACGCTTTTTTCCACCTCCGTCACATTGGCCACCTCAGTCCGTGCCTCACAACCAACGCAGCCGAAATCCTTGTCCATACCTTTGTCATTTCCTGCCCAGCTGGACTATTCCAATGCCCTCCTCACTGGTCTCCCCATCTCCACCATACACAAAATTCAACTAATTCAAAACTCCGCCACCAGGATATTCACCCACACAATTCACCCCCATCACACCAGTCCTCCCAATTACCGAATGGATCGATTTCAAACTCATTTTCAAATCTCTTCATGGCCTCTCACCTCCCTACCTATCCGATATGCTCACCCCCCTCCCCACTCCACCACCCGTTGCTTCTGCTCGGCTGGCTCCAGCCTCCTGTTTGTCCCTCTTGCCCTCTGTTCCAACATCGGTGGCTTCAGCCACTACGCCCTGAAACTCCCTCCCTCAATCCCAATGCCTTGCCCCCTCCCTCTCTCCCTCCCTCCCTCCCTTCAAATCCTGCCTAGTCAGCCCCTCCCTTTTTGATCATGCTTACGGTCTCCTCACCCCCTCCTCCCCCTGGCACATTGTCAGACTCCGCCACTGTGAAGCACTCTGGGACTCTACCCTGTGTAAAGGGCACTATATAAATGCAAGTTGTTGTAATTCCACTGCCCAATGTCAGACTGGCTACACAAAATGGGAAATTTCCCGCACGAACACGTGATTGGATCTGGAGCATCCTGTGATTGGCTCCAGACGGCCCCCACAAATCATTGCCCTTATTATACAACAGGATCCCAAACCCTTTGGGGAGTCAGCCCCGCCACTGCCGCATACACCTTCAAGTCTCTCTCACTGTAGTTTTTTTGGGGATTTATCATTACGTAGAATTATTTAGATTGTACAGCACCGAAACAAGCCATTTTGCCCAAATTAGTGTCGCTCATGTTTATACTCCACGTGAGCTTTCAACCCTCCTCCCTTTGCCCTATCCAATCGCATCCTACCGGTGTACCCCTTCTCCTCCATGATTGATGTCTTAAGAACAACAACAAAATTACATTTATAAAGCAGTTTTCATTCCCAAGGTGCTGGACAGTTAAGGGTTTGCACTTGAGGAGGAGGTTGGAATGAAGAGTGGTGGAGGGTAGGTGGGAATGGAGGAAAGTCTTGAGACAGGCCTTAAAGGAGGCAAGGAAGAAGGTGAGGTGGAAGAGCTCTGGGATGGAGTTCCGGAGCGTGGGGGCAGAACGGCTGAAGGCCTGACTGCCAATGGTGGGGCAGGCAGGGCGAGAGACATGAAGCAGATAATATGAAGAAATAATTATTTATATATGCATATACACATGCACACACACACGAAGACTATATTTTCCAAGGAATTCATTTAAAAAAGAGTTTGCACAGCATGGCTTCCAAATGTTGGTCTAGCTGACACTCCAGTGCAGCGCTGGGCATGAGAAGGGAATTACTCTAGAAGAGTCCTGGCCAACAAATCCCCCAAACAAAATTGGTCAATCACTCCATGGTGTCTTTAGGACTTTGTTGTGAGTAAATTGGATGCTAGTTTCATCCACAAAATACAGTCAATCCTCTTTACAGTAATGTACAGTAGTTTTGAGACATCTCAAAGATATAAGGCGCTATATCAAATGCAAGGATGATTATTATTATTATAGCTCACCAAGACGTGAGCTTGGATCACTCCAAAACAATTATTCTGGGGATAAGAGAAAATAAAATCAGAAATAAACTGTTGAAGGTAACGAACTTGAGATGGAAAAAGCTCAGACAGAAGAACTCTCCAGACATGACTTGAAGGCACTACTTGTGAAGAGAAGGAAGCTATGGAAATCATTACGACAGGTAGATGGAACAGATCTGCAAAAGCCAGATGTAGAAATAGTTGCTGGACATCTCTGCCTGCCATTTGCCTACAAAACACATTCACTACTGTGATCCCATATATTCCAGGCTGAAATTCCAGGGTAGTGATGGGTGTGCACTGCAATGTCAGAGATGCCATCCTTCGGATGAAATGTTTAACTGAGGTCCTAGCTGCTGTTCAGGTAGATGTTAAAGATCCCATTACTATCGTTAAAGATAGTTTCTCTCATTGTCCTGGCCAAATAAACTTAGTCATTCACTTCATGGCTGTTTGTAGAACATTGTGGAAAATTAGCTGCCGAGTTCAGACATCAGAGAAGCATGAATAAGAAACAAGACAGGATGTTGAAAGATAAAAGAAAAAAAAACTGAGGAGACATTTGCACAACCAGAGACAAGAGGTCCAGGAAGGGGGGAGTAGACAATGGCAAAATCTAAGGGCAAGGCAGCATTGCAAGCTCAGAATCAGAATCAATTGTGGAGGAATTTAGGGTTAATAATAATCCTTACATTTGGTATAGCACCATTCAAGTCACAGAATTTTACTGTGAAGTGGAGTGACTGTGTATCTGTAGGCAAACGCGGCAGCCAAATTTCACATAATGATGTTCAACAAACAGCTGTAAAGTGAGTGACCAGTTGTATTTGTATTTGGGGGAAGAACTCCCCTTCTCTGTTAGAATCATGCCATGGGATCTTTAACGTCCATGAACAGTTAGACGGGATCTCACTTTAAGCACTCTCTTGGCACTGTATTGGAGAGTCAACCTCAATTTTGAACCCACAACCAAGTGACTCAAGCTGTTTTCTCAGAAAAGGAACATAGAATTATTTAGCTTGTAGAGCACTGAAACAGGTCATTTTGTTCTAAAGTACTTTCCTCCAGAGTAAAACTGAAATTAANTTTTTTTACAAACAAGTTTACAGTCTAAGATTAGGTGGAGTTTTGCACCTCAGATTATTTGGCTTCCAACAATCTCCATACTATGTCAAAATACATAGAATTAAGTGACACGGTAGCAGACCATTTGACCCAAGCATGCTAGCGTTTATACTACAATGAAGTGTTCACCCCTCCTATTCCCCTCACCGATACCCTTCTATTCTCTTTTCTCTCAAATATGTACTTACATTTCCTCTTAAGTACATTGATGCTTTTAGCATCAACTGCAGCTTCTAGCAGTGAATTACACAATCACTCCACCTTTTGCTACTCTCTATTCGATCTATGACTAGCTATCTTACATTTATGTCCCCCTAATTTTGGACTTGAACCTCTCAACATCCATCGTATCAAATCCTTTCAGAATCTTAAAGCTCTTTCAATCATCTCAACTCTGGAAGAAAAGCTCCAACCTGTTCAATCTTTCTGGATCGATGTATCCTCTCATCCCTGGTAACATCTTAGTAAATCACTGCTGCACTCTCCTCGTTAATGCTATAGTATCGAGACCAGAATGTGACCAAACCAAGGCTATATATAAGAATAAAATTACTTCCCTAGTTTGTGCTCGATTCCTCTGTTCAATTATGTTGTGGTATCTGTATTGTGGGTGTATTTGTAGAGAATTTTTTTTGAGCAACTGAGTGTTTAATTATTATTATTATATTATTAATACATGCAGAAACCTGTCATGGTCTACCCCTCCAAATCCTGCTGATTAGCCAGGCTGGCTAGTCCATCATCAGCAGTGCCTTGGCCATAATTGGTAGAGTGGTCCAAGCTGGACAAGAAGCGGGAAGCTTGCTAGAGGTGTGCTTTCAATACAAACTCTTCAGTATTAACTGCTTACTCTCCAGCAATACCCCAGTGCATATTCTGGGTCCCCAAACCTTGGCTCCTTCCAGCCTGTGCCTGATAGTTTCTGGAATCAGGTAAGCAGGATGCTCCCCTTCAAGGAAAGAGTCCACATTTCATTCCAATAAATATCTTGCGAATGTGTAGGTGTGATGCATGATACTTGCAGTTTGGATGAGATACTCTTAAGCATGATAATGAGTTTTTGCATGGGTCAGACACCTGGCTTACCAAAAAGCAAGAACTGAAGATTCAAGGCTGGAGGTTTCCATGCACATTCAGAATCAAAATAAAAAGCATAGTACACAGGCGGAACCTACACTCAATGTGAGCCCCAGCTGTGGGTATGAAGATGCTCTCATGCATTTTATGCTGAGCTGTGTTACCCACCAGGATGGTCGCAGGTACCTACCATCCATCTCGTGAGTGCTCAACTTGGCTGGTCAGGTGTCAAATGACCAACTAGTGACTGTCCTACTAGGCTGGGGAGATAAGCAGGGTGTTCTTGGAGATGAACTGGTTCGAAGGTGATATGTTTAGCAACGGGATGTCAGAATTCAGCAACGCTCTGTGGTGGTCTTGGTAGTCCAGCTCCTGAGCCAGGCAGGTCTGCATACCACAGGGCACTGCTGATGACAGCACAGTTAGCCTGGCTCATCGACAGCACACGGAAGGACAGACCAGTCACTGGGAGCAGGGACTCTTCCACTAAGCTACTCTGCTGTCAAAGCCCTAACAGTCAGCTGGACAATCAGCGGAAAAGCTTGCGAGACAGCACTTTCAAGCTATGTGGTTTAAACCCTCAGCAGTGCCCCGATGCACACCGTGTGATCTCCAGATGCCCGAAAACACGGGACAAAGAGGAAAGTCTTGAGGCAGACTTTGAAGCAGGCAAGCGTGGGAGTGAGCCAAAGAGATTCATGGATGGAGGGTGGGAGCAGATAGGCTAAAAGCCCAATCACCAACGGTGGGGGAGGGTAGGACGGGAGACCTGTAGCAAGTTGGTGCCCGTCGAGTGGAGGGAGAGGGTGGGCTGGTAGGGATTGAGACGGTCCATTATAATTGTCAATACTAACAAATATTATTGCTTAGCTGCTGAGCTTTGCACATTTTGCATCCAGCCCTTGGAAACTGGCAAGTCAAGACAAGAGCTGGAGTGCCAGCCCTGCCCTGAGCCCCCAGCGCCCCGCCCCCACCCCCCGTCACATGACAAGACCTTGTTATCACAACACTGTTGGTTCACACTAACGTGCTGGTGAGCCGGACACGCCCCGCCCCTCACCGCGCCCGTCAGCGCCGTGACCCGCCTCCGCGTGCCCCCGATTGGCCAATCTCCGATCGGGACGGACAGAGTGGCCGCGTGCATTGGCCGAGCCGCCCGCCCGTCCGTCAGTCAGGCGCCGTGAAGTTTGTGTGCCGGGGGGGTAGCGGTGGGCGACAGGCGGCGCCGTGACACGTGCTTCCTGAGGCCGGAGTGGGTGATGGGTCACCAGGGCTTCGACTTGAACTTGGGCCTCTCTGCCGCTCTGCCCTCGCACGCACAGGGCCCGAGCGGGGCATGAGGGCGGCGCCGGCGGCGGCAGCGACAGCCCCCCCGGAGAACTGCTCGCGAGTGTGTGGGTTGGTGCGGCAGCGGGGCCTGTGCTCTCACTGTGAGTAGCTGCTGTCACAGGGCAGGGGAGGGCAGGCAGGGCAGGGCAGGGAGGGCAGGGCAGGGCAGGGAGAGCAGGGGAGGGCAGGGCAGGGAGAGCAGGGGAGGGCAGGCAGGGCAGGGCAGGGGAGGGCAGGCAGGGCAGGGCAGGGAGGGCAGGGGAGGGCAGGGGAGGGCAGGCAAGGCAGGGAGGGCAGGGCCCCACCTGCAGCTCCAGCTCTGTGCACCGTACCTGACTGGGGGGGAAGACACTCACACACTTAGCATCGGCATCGTTACTGTGAGGCGATGCGCTTTATATATTATCTTTATATATATATATATATATTTTATATATATACAGCAATATATATTATCTGTTCATACATTATATGTAGCAATATATATATATATATATATTGAATATATATATTCAATGCATGTGTTATACCTACAAACAAGTCATCATAGAATTAGGATCAGAGAATCATACAGCACAGAAGGAGGCCATTCGGCCCATCGGGTCTGTGCCGGCTCTTTGAAAGGAGCTATTCAATTCAATCCCACTCTCCCCCCCCCCCCCCCCACCCCGCTCTCTCCCCACCCCACGCTCTCCCCCCCCCCCCCACCCCGCGCTCTCCCCACCCCGCGCTCTCCCCACCCACGCTCTCCCCCCCCCACGCTCTCCCCCCCCCACCCCGCGCTCTCCCCACCCCACGCTCTCCCCCACCCCACGCTCTCCCCCCCCACCACCCCCACCCCGCGCTCTCCCCAGAGCCCACCAAACTTGTCCTCCCCAAATAATTATCTACTTCTGTCTTAAAAGTTCTTCTCGAATTGGCTTCCATACCCTTTCAGGCAATGCATTCCCTATATATATATATTTATATTCTATATATATATATTGCAAAGTATATATACATATTTATACTTTACAATATATTATGTGGAGTGCTTTGAGACATACACATATCTACAAAGTGCATTATAAATAAAACAAATAAATAGTTATCTATTATTATGGATTAGTTGGGCCAAATGTGCTGTGCCAGATAACTCTATTTACTTTTTTTTATATATGATGCACATATATTTATATACACAGTATATACAAATATTAGAATATATTCTATGGAGCACTTTGAGAAAACAAATGTAAACTGTAAATGCAAGTTGTTGTCTCAACTACGTGATAAGGTGCTGTAGCAAATGCAAGAATTATTATTGTATCGATGGCCTGTGCTTTTAACCCTCCCATTCACTCCCCCCCCAATCTTTTCCCTTGGCACTAAGCTTTGCCCCAAAGCTTCTTCCATTGTTTTCCTCAACCTTCATTAATCCCTCCCCCAGCCCCAAATTAGTATCTCCTCAAATCTGAACACTATTTGCCAAGTTGTGTTGAGAGTACCAATAAAATTACCGTAAATCGGCCTATGAAACTGGCAAAGGGAATTTTAGGCACAGGTCCAACGTCAATATTGATGCCACAATCCTCTCAATGTTATCTCTTGTGCCAGATTGACATCTGTATCAAGGTCAATTGTAGATCTTCATTATTAATAATAAATCCTTGCATTTGATACAGCCAGCGGGAGGATGTGTCACAGTCCTTCACATGATTTACTGTAAAGTGCAGTGACTGTATTTTGTAGGTGAATCCACCAGCCAATTTGTGCACAGCAATGTCTCACAAACAGTCTCATAAAAACAATTTTATCTGAGGTATTGTTGGTCAGGACACTGGGAGAAACTCTGTTCTCTTTTCGAGTAGTGCCATGTGACTTTAACTGAACAGGTAGACGGGATAGAATGATGCAGCATGTCCTCGCACTATAATGGAGTTTCATCTTAGATTATGAGTGCGGAGTCACAACTCTGGGGCTTGAACCCGCAACCTTTTGACTCAGAGGCAAAAGTGCTACCAACTGAGCCAGACTGAGACATCATAGCCAAAGGTTGAAAATTTTCTTTCGTCTGCACCAGTATAAGTAGCAAGGAATTATATGAGACAGTGGGGTGGTTTAGACCAGGTCATGTTTTATTTAAAGAACAGCTTGCTGCTGTGATGGGAAAGATGGGTATTCTGGAAGGATGAGATCAAGTGGGCTGAGGGGCTCATCTTACGTGAGCTTGTGATAGTGGCCCAGGATGTTGTGCTCTGATTTGTTTTTGTGGTGAGCTGTTTCCACATGTTGTGGGGTCCAAAACAAGAAGTTAGAAGGAACCAGAGTGAGAATGTGCAATTCGATTCTGTGGATGAAGCAAAACCTATCAAGGTATTAAAGAGAATACTCAACACGTACATGAGGGAGAAGACAATAGATGATAGATGAAGTGAATAGTTTTTTTGAAAATACATATTTATTTATAAATATATTTAGTACAACAGAAATCCAAAACAAACACAACATCTTCTGTTTGCAATTTTTCCCTTCCTCCTGATACAAAAATATTAAGTTGTTTACAGTGCATTCCTTCACTGCATACAGGTTGTGAACAAGTTTTTTGGGCCACTCCCTTTAAAACAGTCGGGAGGACCCCCTGTGTACACCACATCCTGTGCCCACTCATACACGCCCTGATAAGGTGCACTTGCCACTTTCGGAAGGCGCCCCGATGTGCATCGTAGGCACACATGTCAATAGGTGGGGTGCTGGTGCGGAGTATAAATACCAGGATGGACTAATTGGGCTAAATGTGCTGTGTCAGATAATTCTATGCCAGGACTCCTTTTATTTAAAATTTGCATTGGTTTAATGCATTTCGAAAGCAGGTTGCACTTTCGTCACTCCCATGTTCAGGACAGAGATCACCTTAGCGCAAAATTGTGCATATATTATGCAACAAAATCTGCATACTGTGTAAGCTAATTTTTTTTCAATCCAAGACTTGTCAGTTGATGTTCTGCCAGTTCTCTGTGTCCGGCTGAATGGCCATTCTCTCCGGCTTTGTGGTGACATGCAGAGCGCCCAGTCCTGACTCCGCCATAGTGCCCTGGAACGGCTCCGACCTGGCCCGCAACCTCCCAGCACCGAGCTGGCAGACACTTGGCCCTCTGAAAGGGACAGGATTGAAGGGCATCCGACTGGCGAGGTGGTTGGGAAAATGTAGCAAGATAATTTGGTTGACAGATCTTGATCGTGGGATTGAAATGAAACATGCTAGTTGATTGGTTTGTGTTACACATGATCATATAGATTGTATGCATGTTTTGGATACCCATGTGTACACAGGTTGCATTTTTAGAAACCCTCTAAATTGGCTCCAGCAAACATGTGTTAAGAACATTATTTTTCTTGTGTAATGTGCAAAACAAGTTCATTAGCTGATGCCAATAGTTCTGCAGCGGTACTTTTTAGCATTGTAGTACAATCAGTTGTACTATTGTGGCCCCGTTAGAAAGTGCCTTGGTTGAACACGTGTTCATTTTAAGTACAGGTTTACTGCAGACCTGGGGTATACTAAAAACACAGTACTCGCTGGTGCTGACGATCTGTTTTCCCTCACTACAATATGGTTGACTTCCAAGAAATTGGGTTGTCGCTGTTGACACTATGTGTTGTGCATGTGTGCTAGGAAATAGCAAGAGGGTTTCTTGCACATGTAGAGCATGCAGCAAATGCTTCCTGCACATATAATGTGCATCAGAAATTGAAGGATTGGTGGGAGTCCGCAACAAAATTATAACGTGACTGCGGATTCAGTGGTCTGAAAATCCTTTTGAACTAATAGCATTTATTAATTCAGTCTTAATTTGGAAACCTCATTTCTTGAAAGACCTGTGATAAAACTGCTCCTAAAATTCGGTACCATCTTAGATAACAGCCGTACATTTGGTACAGCACTTCTTGGGAGGATGTCTTAAAGCACTTCATAGGAAATACTGTAAAATTGTGTGACAGTTGATTTTGTGGGCTATTGCGGCAGCCCGGTTGCAGACTGCAATGTCCTACAAACAGCCGTAATAATGATGATAATCCTTCAATTTGATATAGTGCCTTATCATGTTTTTGAGACGCCTCAAAGAACTTCTCAGAATACATTGTGAAGTGAATTGACTTTATATTTTGTGGGTGAAACGCAGCAACCAATTGTGCACAGCAGTGTCCCACAAACAATCGTGGATTGAGTGACCACATTTTTTTTAAGGGATTATTACCCCCAGAAAACCGGGTTCTAATTTACTGCTAGATAAACAGAGGTGTGTGGAGTAAAGGAACGAATAGAGACTATAAGCAGACTATGTGATTTCCAAGTCTTGGTTTGGGGCTTGAACCCACAACCTTCTGACTCAGAAGTGAGAGTGCTATCTCCTGAGCCATACTGATACACAAGTGTGTGGTCTTTAAGTCTCTGGTTAATGTTTGTCCATGAGAGTTTCAGGTAAGAGGTGATTAATGTGTAAAGCAGATTAAAGGCTGACGTGAACCATAATACAAGGCAACTCCATTATTGATTGCCTTTTTAAAGCGCAGGTTCCCTTACAATGCAGCTTTGCTGTGGCCCTGTGGTTACTGCAAGTGACACTTCCTGACCAGTTGCATTCCTGTGCTCTGCAAAACATTGGATTCAAAACACAGCCTTATAACTGAGTGGCCCTGTGGTTTGTTCCAGGCTGTACCTTCAGACGTTTTCTGTCATGTTTTGTTTTATACTTTACTTTTAAAATTTAATATTCAATGATTTATTTTTTACTATTGTGTATGAGCATTGCCATGTGGTCATAAACATCACCCGACAGGCAGAAAAGGGAAAAACCTACAGATTTCTTAAGTGACTTGAAAGGATGCTTTTACTGAAAAAGGATAGTGCTTTGAAGGGTAATTTAACTATCTTACACACACTTTGTGCATTTCCCCAGTGTAATGCCTGGGATACAGTGAAATTTGCGTTATCTTCTCAAGAGTTGGTGGGTTAAGTAGGTAATTTGATTGAAGCCTTTAGGAGAATGAGGGAAATTAACAACATGACTCTTCCTCTGGTGGATTAATCCAGAAAAAGGGGACACAGAGGCAAGATGGC